CTCTAAGGGAAGCCGGCTTGAAAAAATTCCTTGAAATATGTGTAACACCGTTTACTCTTTTATAGTGTTGCAGGCAGCAGTACCGCCTCAACGCTAAGAGGGTTACAGTACACTGCCCTATGAACTTACCAACCTCTTATGTACACTTTTATCCGGCGGCCACGAAAGTCAACGCGACAGACTCTACACCTAACTGAGGGCAGCCTCCAAGTAAATCTTATAACAAGCAGCTTTTAGTTTCAGTTTATAGTTGATGAGAGATAGTGGTGGAATACAGCTGCTATCGGCTAACCATCTACTATCAATTTTATACTAGAGGCCGTCGTCGCTTGAGTTATTTGATCTGCATTGAAGATGCACTTAATTAGGGTGGACAATGAGCAGCTACAGCTTCCTGCTCGATAATACGGGGAGATTTTCAAGAGTAAGATTATAGCTCGACATAGATCCATTGGCATTCCTGAAAGGAGTGCAACCTTATAAGCAATATTTCCAGTGGAATTGTTGATCATCCCATTTGACATTTCTTCAGTGATCTGGTTACTCCAGACACTGCTTGATTCTATTTTTGAGAACGTGAGCCTATGAGAAAGCTATGTCCGTCGATCAGCCGTATCCAGGACGTGAGGGTACTCAACGGGAAGCCCGTCGCGCGACGAGAGGGTAGAGCGTGGACGAGTCGCAGCGCGTGCTGTGTGATGTGGACGTACAATACATTCCGTTTGACCTGACGCCCTGTCGCTATAGTACGCGCTGTGACTCGTCCGGGTCTCTGCCGTCCAGCCGCGCGTCGAGCCTCCTGTCAGGTACCCATGACGAAATTGAATGAAGACCGGTCATCTGTGAAGGAAGAACTTCTTCTCCGCTCATCATAAGTGCTCCCTTTGCAGTCCTTGCCAAAATCCCTTTACACCTATCATCTCAGCTTTTCCCTTTGAAATATATAGCTTGCATGCTAAGCATCCAACGCAAGTTTACGTGTTTTTTACTTGATATTTCAATAAATAAATATTTTCAAACCTGTGGTCGGTTTCCTTACTGGACTGTCATGGATGCGTTTCTTGAAGATATTCCTGACGGCCCCTTAGCTTTGAGAACGGTCGAGTACTACGAGGAGGACTCAGCGAAATTTACTTCGCTTTGTGCAGTGCTCTGAGAGCGCATACTCCGGATGCATCAGACCTTAGAAGGAATAACAGCTAATAACCCTGCGCCTAGTAACGCCGTGGGTTCGGTTCGTTGCATGGAGATGCTTCTTACTTATAATATACAAGACAAAAACAGTCCTGCTGCAATGCCGTTCTCTACAAGCTCTCTGGGTGACCATTCACATAAAGTATCACGTCACTGCTCTGCAAGAAACCATTTGCAAGTTGATTGACGTGAGAGGAATGAATGATGGAAGTTTTGTCATTCGAGATAACCCCATTGCGAAACGTCAGCGGCGTTGGCTTTGTTGAATTAGGGACATGCATTTGTTTTCCGGTACTTTTGTAGGCTCCCTAAATACTTGCACAATGAAAACTGAAAATGGTCTCTAGTGTCATCTATACTTTGAATACCTCTCGAAAAACCAGTAAGTGAACTTCTAGTTTAGGAATACAATTTTATTATATTTGCATACTTTTAAAGGCTTATTTGTAAGACGAATCAAAATGAAACGCGACGAGGAGTCCAGTCAAGCAGATATGTTGCACTTCTATGTTTTGGGAATGAGAACGGCTGGAGCACATTGATTGCCTGCGAGCATACACTGAACGTTCTTCAACTTATGATGTGGGCAGAATTGGATTCATCAATTCCAGGGCAAAGGAACCGAAATATTTGCAGTCTGGTCCAAATGGTGTTATGCGGGGTGTATGAACAATCGCAACCGAATGGAAAAGGTCTCTCATGAAACCATAGGCAGTAGCCGAGACGCGCAACGGGTTATAGCAAGATATTTGAGGCCTATGAGAACAACAATTGGCAAAAATCTAAGAAAACATTTCTTGGCGATAGCGCTAGGGCTCATCCCCTACCTCAGTTGATACGATTTTAGAAGTGTATTCATAGAAATGAGTAGAGGAGTCTGCCAGGCTACTTTCACGCCAGTGCTCAAAAGACTTGGGTCACTGTCAAGAAGACAAATCGTTCTTTTTGCAAGGAAAATATACGAAGTCGTCGTTGCCGTTCAGGGCTAGAAGAAGGGTGAATATCGGTCGAGGAAATCCTCGACAGGGGGTCGTACCTTGTCGGGCTGGGTCATGGGGGGTCGTACTCTTGGGGTCAGTAACAGCAGTGGTATCGTGGTGCAGATAGGGTAAGAGGGTATAGCGCAGCAGAAAATGAAATATCTGAAAAACATTATATAAAACTTGTTTTTGTTTGTTAACTGCTGTTTTTGGCCGCAGTTCGCCTTGCGAATGTTTCACAAGAATGCTGGGTTGTGAACAAAACTTTCGCCCCAGGCGGGACTACGTTATACGTGTGAGTGCTGAAAGCTATGGTACGTATACCATGAAAAGCTGAGTTGGAATGAAATGGTGCCCCGGTAGCGTAACTGGTAGCGCACTTGCCCGGAAAGCGAGAGGTGCGGGTTCTAGTCCCGCCTGGGCGAAAGTTTTGTTCACAACCCAGCATTCTTGTGAAACATTATATAAAATGTTCTTTGCAGGTTCAGTCGCTCCATTCCTCACCTTTATGAGAAGGACGTATTTGAAGGCAGTACAAAGAATGAAAGTGCATCCCGCAAAGAAGCCACATGTGCACACGCGCTGCAAAGGCACCTCCTCTGCCTATCGCTCGCTCCTTCTCCCTTAATACCTCGCTGAGAATGACACTGTTGTTAGGGACCCTGTCGCAAAAACGACAACCGTGAAGGAAAGGCCCTGGGCAAATGAAGCTGTTCCTCAGGTTATAGGAGTTACGAAATGTGTTTACTACAATGCAGCTTCTGTCAACTGGTCATGATCATATAACACCTTTCAATCGATTCTGCAACTTCGAGTGAGGTCGGATGCATGGCCTATACCCAGACAAAATCGGATGATGACGATTGCCCCTTTTCTTATTGCTTATGTTGGAAGAATGTATTCTAGACACATTTCGAGCGTTGCCAACGAATTACACTTGCAATGGTGAAGAAGGGAGCTTTTTGAGCGGCCGAGAATCATCCTCGATAGATCCTCGACGCAAATATCTCCTCAACTAGAGAATGTAGAAGGAAGCTAAACATACTGTTAGAAAGCGCAAACCTTCCGCTTTCCAAAACTGTCTTCGTTTTCCCAAGATCTTGCGAAATTAGAGAGATATTGCCTTTTAAGTGGCAAAAACTCGCATGAAAATTTCAGCATCCTCGACGCTCCCTCGACGGATTTTGAGAGACTATATCTCTTCGAATGGAAGGCTTTCATAGCAATTCCAATACTGCCTGATAGTAGCAAATCTAGCTCTATCTAACCCTACCGCGTGCTGTTCAAAAGGTTGGAAATGGAGGAATGAACCTTTTCATCGAGGGTGTAGATTTCGACGGTTTTTTTTTCGGCAAATCTGACCCAGGGACAAATCGCGCCGCAGCTGCCGTTGAATCGGCCGTTGATATACTCGGCTGTTGTAATTTTGCGTATGCTCTGTTTTAGGGGGTCGTGCCAATCCTCGATCTCAGGGGGTCGTACTTCTGCGACCACGTCCTTGACACTATTCTCACCCTGGCCAAAAGTACGGTTCTGGATGCATCTTCTAAATTTGAGCTCAACTGCCTTCCAAATCTGCTAATCCATTGTTAGAACGGGATTATGAAAGCTTTTCCTTCGCGCTGTTGTGCGTACATATAGGTGACGGAGGTGCTGATTATTCGGCAGGAATGGCGCAGTCGGTTTTGGAACGGACTCGTAGGTGGTTACGGTTACGGGTTTCTCAAGAAGCTTGTCGTGTTAACTCTTTTGATTAAAAATGCTCCCTCCTTTCTTCATCAGCGGTCGCCTACACTTGCCTAACCTAATCTGCGAGCGACTCCTCCACGGCCAGATTCTAGTGATTATGGCACCCGTAGCGCACGAACCAGAAATTTTTAGGCGAAAATGATCTTCGTGTTCAGGAGGTCAGACTACCGCTACCAAATGCTGGCCTGATCTCAAATTATGACCAAACTTCGAAAAGCGAGACATTTATTGGTGTAAGCTCACCAGATAGCAATCCTCGCGGGTGACCGATCATGAACGTCCATTTTACGAAGGTATCCAGGTCATCGAGAACTCGAATCAGCAATAGGCGGATGCCAAACTGCCGAAAATGGCAAGGTTATGAGTGTGAACGTTGTACTTATGAGAGAACACAAATGCACAGGTCCTCCGCATAACCAAAAAGAAGTCCAGGAATTTAGAGAATTGTTGCGCAAAGGTGCAAAGGCTGAAAAGCAGTGGAAAGGAACAAAAGAATCAACAATCAGCATCGACTCTCCGAAAGGATGCAGTCATATACATAGTTGGCTGAAAATCGGTCGAGGAATTGTCGACGACAAGTCGAAGATCTTCGTGTGTTCAGTCACGATCTCTGGCGGAGACATTCACTCTCCACACTATTCCTACACAGGAGAGCTACTGTAGTAAGGATTTCCCCTCATGTTCGACGTCTGTTCATTAAGGGGTTTACGGACTACTTGATTTTTCCTCAATGGTCCTGCCGCGATGGCTAGAGCACAGACGATTAGAGAATGCCCTAGGACTAAGCCTTGGAGAGGAGAGGGACCCGCTAGAGAGCGCAGAGGCGGTAAAGGGCTGAGTTCAAGTAGTCCGTCAACCCTATTCCTATAAAAATCAAACGCCATAGAATCTGAATAATTAATATAATAATAGTTTGTCGAAAAGTCCACAAAGTCCACAAAGTGTTGGAAATTTAAGCCGTTCTGTTTCAGTTTATCCTTCCTTTGCACAATAAAACTCGTGAACGTTCTAACCTATTATTGCGAAATTTGCAATCAAATGAAACATTCAGGGAAGCATCATCAAATCCCTTGCAAGATGAGGAATAGAGCACTTTTCCTTCAGTTGATGTTTGCCACTACTTATCTGTCTGTTCCTGGCTTGTCTAGCGCTGAAAAAGCAGGAGATGTGAGTGCAAATGATTCTTTCATTACTAATTCAACAAGCTCAGTAAGTATACCTGTCATGTTGAGCTAATGGGAGGAGAATAGTGTAGATGCGAAACGTACTTTAATCTTAACGACTAGACCATAAGAGCAAATTTTGCATGTTTAGAAGCAGTCGGACGACAGCACCGAAGGAGGGTGGTTGGCATGTGACGGCAGCGAACTCGAGGCGTGCCATTGTGAGCAGGAGGAGATCAACTGCGATAACGTCAGTCCATTCACATTGAACAGACGATCTCTCCATTGCAGGGCTGCGTTTTGTTGGGTTTAGAATCAGGCTTTCTAAACGGACATGCCCAGTAGTCTGAAGATGCTTTGAAGAGTTGAGATTGGCCAGCCAAAACATGCCATTTGAATGTAGCGGATATTATTGTGGTCGTGGTTAAAGCTGAAGAAGTGCGCAAAACAATCTGTTTGAATGAATCGCTAAGGTTGCTCTTCTGAAAGCAGGAGATGAAGTTTTGAAGGATGTCATGCGGTAAGGCTCAGGTAGGGTAGGGAGGGGGGGGGGGACAGTTGAATACATATTAGATCGGTCCATAATTTTTGAGAACCTTTGGTGTTTTTCCGGTCTAATTACTCATCTTATTTCTCCGATGTAATTATTTAGCACAGTATACAGGGGGGCCAAAAAAAGAGTCACTTTGCCTATGGCGCACATCATCAAATTTTTCGTCGCACAGGAATGCCGCTGTTAATGAATGTTTACGGCAGAATATTCCTTAGGTGTCCCCCATAAGCAGAAGCAGGCCCTCCTTCACTGCCCTCACCGTCTTCAGAATATGACGTCATCTGCCGTCACCGTCGAGCTCAACGAGGCTTACCGTAATCGCTCCGGCCTGAAGCTGCTACATAATTTCTTCAATCGATTAACTGGTGAATAGCTTCCCAGAGACACTAGCTGTGACTGTGCAAGACCGCTTTTGACCAGCGTTTCAGGGACGTCGTAATGGTCTATGGTACCTCGACGACCTCGTTGAGCTCGTACCGTGAACCATGTTTCCGTGGGAAAATCTTCTGATGTCGTCGGTGTAGAAGGCTGTCATGTAATTTTTGATAGATTTGAATGTGCTCTTTAATATGCAGTTGGGCTCATTTGGTTTGGTTTCGCAGTTCGTAAATAATTCCGTTTTGAATGTGGAGAGAAGTGACTCTTTTTTTTGGCCCCCCTGTACTATTACCAGCATATCACCAATGCGAGGTAGGTGTTCAGTGTCTCTCTTGTAGAATTTCATAGAGTTCTGATCGAAGAAATATTGGATGTCGATTTTGACTTTATGGTGATTCAAGTGAGATTTCTTCTCCAGAAGGTGATTGAGAGAGGAGAGCGGATAGTCGTTCGTTGGCGCAGGATTAGTGCTACAAGGCGGAGCTAAAAGAACTGACCGCCCGAGAGTCTCCAATTTTTTATGAATTTTCTTAGCAAGGTGGACTCGAACGACCTCAGAAAAAAAAAAGGATTTTGTCTTACTTTGCTTTCAAGTTGAAGGCGTTGCCATCAAGCTGTCGACGATTATCTTCATCACTGACACTGGTATTAGTTGGTGCCGGTTCCCAGCGCAAAGCCCCTCTCGTATTCCGCTAACGATGCAGGAAATTAAAATTCAGGAAATTGGGAAATTAAATCGTATTTATCGTCTAGAGCGCACCGTCTTGGTTAGCCAGCAACCTTTTGGAAATAAGGGATCCGGACTTTGACTCTTCCTATTTCTTCCATTTTGTATGTGAGTTCGGGGAAGCTAAAGAAGAATATGTTGCGATTTTTTTATAATAGTTTGCATTGCATTCCCGCTTTCAGGTCTGATAAACTTCTTCCACTCAGCATATATACTTTAGGTTGTCTTCAAAGATGAGAGCCCTCTCAGCACAGCTAACCTTGATATTAACAACAAAACGTTCCGTGTTGAGAGAGCGACATTCCGGGAGAACTCCATTACTAGTCTTCGTCAGGTATTTCTATACTTTTTAGAGTACTTGAGAAATTTTTCTAAGAGTATGTACATTAAGGGCAGAATAATACCAGGACACCAAGGAACTGTCCGAGAACTCGATTTTTCGCACAATCGTATCGTATACATTGAGAGCGGGACGTTTTCGTCATTTCGAGCATTGAAGAAACTCTATTTGACTGGCAATAAACTCAATCAATTGAAAAAGTACGTTTAATATAAATTATAATAATATGGAGGCGGTTGCTCGCCAAATCGGCCACAGTGATGACAATTGAAGGTAGTTTTTACGATCGGCTAGACGTAGGATTCCGCTTTAGTAGAACATTTGCACCGTTTTCCGAAATCTAGCGCATATTTTGTTTCTAAAAGTCAAAAACGTAAGCAGTAAGACGTACTTCGTTGAAGCGACCCGTAACAAGTGCTAGAGGTTACCCAATAAGTCGGAGGTGCAAGAACGTTCAGCGCAGCACGCAGTCGTACCTCATAAGAGGTGTACCAGTGGCAGACTCTTCAAAGTCTCTACTTTTATTCTGTCCCACTCGTGGGCGGTATGAGAGTCCACCTTCGAAAGTTTGCCTCTCTAAAATTCTACATTCAGAGATCAATTCCTCGGATTGAGCGAATTGCATCAGCTCTTCTTGGACAATAACAGGATAACATCACTTCAAGATGGCGTGTTCGAGCATCTCACGAATCTTCGTCGGCTTGTGCTCGATGAAAACAAAGTCAAAATCAGGTAGGCAGGCAGTGCATAGCTCATTAAATCCTGAAGATACCTTATATGACGTTCAACATGCAAGCCGTAGACATTCACTGCATAAATAATTCTACAGTAGCGGTCAAAATTTTAGAAGCCTCTCCATTTTTGATCTAGCGCGTCAGTAAAAGATGAAATAGCCTCATAAGAGGTGAAACAGCCTCAATCTCATGCTAGAGACTAATTAAAGGAATCTTCCACGGAAAAGCTCCGCCCTCATTACCACAGAAAACGATACCTTAAAGGAATCTTCCACGGAAAGAGTGATCATTTTGTCTTGTGTGTAGGATTAGTATTATCGAAACTAACGCTTATGTTCCGTTCTTTTTGCTATGCTCATGAGGCTAGGGGCCTAAGGTATCGTTTTTCTGTGGTAATGGAGGCGGAGCTTTTTCCGTGGAAGATTCCTTTAACTGTAAAGTACGATGTGCAACATAAAATTGTCTGAGATCAAAACGATATTTGAAAATACGACTTTTTTGTGAAAAACGGCACGCCAAAAGTTTGGAAACTCCGTAACACCAAGGTTAGTTCAGCACGACAACTCTCAAATACACATGAGGGAACAGTAGTTTGCCAGATCAATTGATGATGGGCTGTTCTTTATTGACAATGAATCATTGAAATATTTTTTTCTGAATAAACTAGAACCTGGACAAAGAAACAGAATTTGTAAGCATTTCATCGCCTGGATGTGGATGATGGTACTACGATCAAGCTCCTTCCTGAGGTTTACACTAATTATAGTCCAGATCCTTCCACAACACCATTTCAAAAAAAGTAGAACTCCGATTTGTGGCTGAGCAGTTTTTAGCCCCCGTCCTTGGTCCAGGCTGGCCGTTAACATTCATAAATAAGTCGGGTGCGCTGCTCCTGCTTTCATTGCCCAGCAACGGCAGCTCGTTGGAACATCTTACACAATACTTGCCAGATTTCGGCCGGTGTTGGGCACTCCGGCTTCCATTCGACTGAGGAAAACCGGAAAAATCGTTTCCCGGGTGAGGATGTCGGTGGACAGGCCGAACCAATCACGAACGTTGAAAGACGAGCCTATTTTTGTGACGCCGTTTCTTGTAAACTAGACGTTCTCGCTATGCATTCTCAACTGTAACAGCTTTTTTCTAGAGAAAAAAACCACATAGATACAACTTTCTTCTGCTTCGGGAGAGTACGCTTGAACCTCCGGTGAGGGCTTCTTTTTATATAAAACCGCTCAAAAATTGCATAATACTCCAGAATTAGATTGAATATTGCCAGAAAATCTGCAATCATTGAAGAGAAAAAAGTAGAGAGTACAATGATGAGAGAAACAAAACGTTTCCAAACATTTGACGGGCCATTTTTCGGGAAAAAACCGTATGTTCCAATTATGATCTTCGATTCTGGAAATATGTTTCGCATATCTTTCCTGTTGTTTCAGGAAGGATTTGTTCAAGGGTTTAGAGTCTCTGGAAGAGCTGAGCCTGGACAACTGTGATATCAAGGAGTTGGATGTCGACGTCTTCGACGCAATACCGTAGGTCGCACTTCTACCTCTATTAGTTTTTTTTCACCCGGTTTTATCCAAATAATGTAGCTTCATACCATTTTCATTTTGAGTAAGACACTCAAGTATAATAATGTGTTCAAAGAAAGCGTGGATTTGAGATTCTGCTCATTGCAGTTACAACTCGCAATTGCTTTAGGGATTGCAAAGCATAAACCCTCGCCCTCAAACAGCCAGAAACCCACGTGGCACACGTGGCTAAATTCTCGATGAAAAGGTGACATCACGTGTGCTCAAAGATGTTCTTGAATCGATGCCACGTTAATGCCACGTCAATTTCTGCAATTGCACAATTTCTGGTTATTTGAAGGCGAGGGTACATCAAACTCGGCTCATCAACTTTATGAGATGATGCTTCGATTTTTCTGTTGAAACTCGCTTTCAACATCCTAATTTCAAAGCAAATGAGATGAGTCATTATTGAACGTTGTCCGCCAAAACTATAGCCAGAAGTCAGCAGCCGATTCCATTCAAAATATTCCGTAATTATTGGAGTTATACTACGTTATGGCTGTCCTTCATCTAGTATTCTGCCGATCCTGTTAAGGATGACTCGAGTGAATAGCTTGTAGATTACAGACAGCAGGCAGATTGGGCGATAGTTGCCAATGTCGTCCAAGTCTCCCTTCTTGTACAGCAACACGGTCCTGCTGGTTTTCCACGGAGTGGGTACCTTGCATTCCGACAGGTAGCGCGTGAAGAGTCGAGCCAGAGTTTGATGATAACTGGCGGTGCATTCTTCAGATGTTCCGGTTTAACCCTGTCGAGACCGGGTGCTGTACGATTCTTCACCGACTTGATGGCGTGTCGGACTTCGGAAGAGAGAACTGAGGGACGACGTATCCATCCTCTTGCAGTTGATAAGTAGGCAGATGGACATGGCTATCGAAGAGATCCGAGTAGAAGTCGTGGATGACTTTCTCCATTGCCCTTCGGGATGCAGTAACTGTTCCATCCGGACGTCGGAGGCAGGTCATTGGTCTTGTAGCTGGCAAAGCTTCGGCGGGCATTGCGGATGCTCCTCCCAGCCTCTGCTGCTTCAGCTAATACTGCTGCTCTTCGCTCCTTGAGATCTTCCTTTATCGCCTCTCTGCATAGCTTCGCAAGCTCGGACGTGAGTCGGTGATTGCCTGCAGCTCGTGCGGCTCCACGCTGGCGTATCAGTTCGAGAGTTTCCGGAGACAGACGTCCCTTGGTGACTTTCAAACTCTCTGCCTTCCTGCCACAATCGTGAAGATGTTCAACGAGCCGATAGTACTCCTCGTCGATGTTTTCGATGACGGAATCCTCCCATAAGCTGACGAGGGAAGCGAAGTGGTCCCAGTTGATGACTGTCCTGGGCTTCGCTTCCTGAACTTTGCTGCTCTCTCAACACGCATCGAGAAGTGGAATCTTGCGCGGAGGAGACGATGGTCCGATCCCGTGTAGAACTTTGGAACAACAGCGACGTCGGTCAGGCAAAACCTTCGATTGAAGATGATGTGGTCTATCTCGTTATGGAACTGTCCATCAGGTGACTCCCAAGTCCAACGAAGGTGAGAGGGCTTCTGGAACTGTGAGTTACCATGGATGGTGTTGGTCGACATGATAAACTCAGACAGTCTTCGCCCTGCTCATTCCAATCCATTCCGTGAGTACCGATGTGAAGTTCTTCAGCCGTTCTTCTTGGGCCAATCTTGGCGTTGAAGTCGCCGACGATGACCTTGAAGAAGGTATGATCTTCCTGTAGAACTTCTCCAATCCATATAAATGCTTCGTGTTCCTCCTCGTCGTAGCTGGATGTTGGTGCGTAGGCGACGAAGATTGTCAAAGCAGGAGTTGAACCACATCTTCTCAATCTCAAACGTCCGATTCGGGTCGTAAGGCTTTCGTACGAATCGATGTTTATGGCCAAGTGCGTGTTGACGAGGACACCCACACCGCCAACGCCTCTGCTGTCGCATGTTCCAAGGAACAGTTCTTCTCCAGTATCGAAAACGGCGTGTAGCGGGCGGTGCCTTCTCGTCTCGGTCAGTCCGATGACGTCGTACTTGATCTTCCTGGCCTGCATCATCAGATCTTCGATGTGAGCTTCGGATGCAAGCGTTCGTGCGTTGAAAGTACAGATCGCCATCTTAGTCCTTCTTCGTTTAGGCAGCCTATCCGGGCCCTGAGATTCTAGCAGCCTCTCCCGAGCGGTCCTACCCAACGCTGCCGTATTGGGGGCTCCCTCAGGTTCAGGGGAATGAGGCCCATCCATATTGCTGTTTTCGGCATATTGAAGGCACACGAGTAGCTTGCCAGGCTCTGTCGTGTGGGCTAGGATAGACCTCCAGGTAGTTAGCCACGCTATCCTGGAGCGGAACAAGGGGCTTATTTTTTGGAGGCGGCCCCGAATCGCCTCCCATGTACTTCCCAGTCACTTGAATGCAAGCTTTTGGCTGTGCCGACATGCAGGATACCAACCGCACACACACAGAGCGCACCACACACGCAAGCATGCATGGATACGCCTGAGTGGAGACAGCTGGTATGAATCAACACAGCACTACAGAAACAGGGAGTCCATCCCCTGAATCCACCTGCGTCTCAGGGCAAGTACATGGTGGCTTTTGGTCCGCGATTTACCCCCTATCCGCCACCTGGGGTCGCGCCACGTAGCCTCGCCACCAACCGGCTCGAGATCTTTCAGTGAGAGAGGACCCTCAGTGAAAGAGATCCGTGGCCATGCCAATAGGCCACCAA